ATCACACATGCTGCAGAGCAGCTGAGCCCATGCACCACAACTACTGAGCCCACGTGCCACAACTGAAGCCCACGAGCCTAGAGCCCTGCTCCACTACAAAAGAAGCCACCATAATGAGAAGCCCGTGCACTGCAACGAAGAGTAGCCCCCACTCACGACAACTAGAGAAAGCGTACACGCAGCAACGAAGACCCAATGCAGCCAAAAATAATTTTTAAAAAAACCCCAATGGGTCAATAATGAAATCAAAAAAGAAATTAAAAAATACCTTGAGCAAATGACAATGAAAACACAACCATACAAGAACTATGGGATGTAGCAAAAGCAGTTCTTACAGGGTAGTTCATAGTGTTACAGGCCTTCTTTAAGAAACAAATATCTCGGGACTTCCCTGGTGGTGCAGTGGTTGGGAGTCTGCCTGCCAATGCAGGGGACACGTCCAGGAAGATCCCACATGCCGCAGAGCAACTAAGCCCAAGCGCCACAACTACAGAGCCGGTGCACTAGAGCCTGCGAGCCACAACTACTGAGCCCGTGTGCCACAACTACTGAAGCCCGCGTGCCTAGAGCCTGTGCTCCGCAACAAAGAGAAGCCACTGCAATGAGAAACCTGAGCGCTGCAACAAAGAGTAGCCCCCGCTCGCCCCAACTAGAGAAAGCCCACATGGAGCAACGAAAACCCAGCATAGCCAAAACTAAATAAATAAATATATTTTAAAAAAAGAACCAAATATCTCAAATAAACAACCTAATACACTACCTAAAAAAATTAGAACAAGAACAAACAAAACCTAAAGGAAAAGGTAATAAAGCAAAGGAAAGATAATAAAGATCAGAAACGAAATAAATAAAAGAGAGATTAAAAAACAAACAAAAAAAATCAATAAAACCAAGAGCTGTTTCTTTGAAAGGGTAAACAAAATTGAGAAACCTTTAGCCAGGCTCACCAAAAAGAAAAGAGAGAAGACCCAAATAAACAAAATAAGAAATGAAAGAAGAGAAATCACAACAGATAACACAGAAATACAAAAAACCATGAGTGAATACTATGAACAATTATATGCCAACGAATTTGACAACCTCCAAGAAATGGACAACTTTCTAGAAACATACAACCCACCAAAACTGAATCACAAAGGAAGAGACAACTTAAACAGACCAATCACTAGAAAAGAAATCAAATCTGTTAAAAAAACAAAACAAAACAAAAAAACAGCAAACAAAACAAAACCTGCCTAAAATAAAATTCCAGGACCATATGGCTTCACAGGCAAATTCTACGCAACATACAAAGAAGAACTTATACTGATCTTTCTCAAATTCTTCCAAAAGACTGAAGAGGAACGAACACTCCCAACGACATTCTATGAAGACATCGTCACCCTGATCCCAAAAGCAAAGACACTACCAAAAAAGATAATTACAGGCCAATATCTTTGATGAATATAGATGCAAAAATTCTCAACGAATTATTAGCAAACCGAATCCAACAACACATTAAAAAAGTCATACACCACAACCAAGTTGGATTCATTCCAGGATCACCAGGATGGTTCAACATATTCAAATCAATCTACGTCATACACCACATCAACAAAAGAAAGGACAAACACTACATGATCATCTTAATAGATGCACAAAAAGCATATGATGAAATTCAACACCCATTCATGATAAAAGCCCTTACAAAACTGGGTATAGAGGGAACGTATCTCAACATAATAAAAGCTATTTATGACAAACGCACAGCCAACATAATACTCAATGGTGAAAAGCCGAAAGCCTTCCTGCTAAAATCTGGAACAAGACAAGGGTGCCCACTCTCACCACTTCTCTTCAACATAGTACTGGAAATCCTAGCCACAGCAATCAGACAAGAAATAGAAACAAAAGGTATTCAACTTGGTAGGGCAGAGGTAAAATTATCATTATACACAGATGACATGATAATGCATACAGAAAACCCTCAAGACTCCACACAAAAACTACTAGAACTGATAAATGAATTCAGGTAGCAGGATACAAGATTAACATACAGAAATCAACTGCATTTCTTTACACTAACAATGAAATACCAGAAAGGGAATGTAAACAAATAACCCCTTTTAAAATCACACCAAAATAATATTTAGGAATAAACCTCACCAAGGAGGTGAAAGACTTTTATGCTGAGAACTATAAAACATTAATAAAGGAAATTTAAGACGATTTAAAGAGGACTTCCCTGGTGGTGCAGTGGTTAAGAATCTGCCTGCCAATGCAGGGGACACGGGTTCGAGCCCTGGTCCAGGAAGATCCCACATGCCGCAGAGCAACTAAGCCCATGTGCCACAACTACTGAGCCTGCACTCTAGAGCCCACAAGCCACAGCTACTGAGGCCACATGCCTAGTGCCTGCGCTCCGCAACAAGAGAAGCCACCACAATGAGAAGCCCATGCACCACAATGAAGAGCAGCCCTTGCTTGCCACAACTAGAGAAAGACAGTGTGCAGCAACAAAGACCCAACACAGGCGTAAATTAATTAATTAATTGTTTTTTAAAAGATGATTCAAAGACATGGAAAGATATCCCATGCTCTTGGATTGGAAGAATATTGTTTAAATGGCCATACTACCCAAAGCAATCTATAGGTATAATGCAATACCTATGAAATTACCCATGACATTTTGCACAGAAATAGAACAAATAATAATAAAATTTACATGGAACCATAAAAGACCCAGAATCGTCAAAGCAATCCTGAGGAAAAAGAGCAAAGCTGGAGACATAACCCTCCCAGACTTCAGACAATATTACCAAGTTACAATAATCAAAACAGCATGATACTGGCACAAAAACAGGCATATAGATCAATGGAACAGGAGAGCCCAGAAATAAGCCCACACACCTATGGCCAATTAATCTTCAACAAAGCAGGCAAGAATATACAATGGAGAAAAGAGTCTCTTCAGCAAGTGGTGTTGGAAAAGCTGGACAGCTGCATTTTAAATCAATGAAGCTGAAACACACCCTCTCACCATGCACAAAAATAAACTCAAAATTACTTAAAGACCTAAATATAAGACAAGACACCATAAAACTCCTAGAAGAAGACATAGGCAAAACATTCTCTGACATAAATCATACCAATGTTTCCTTAGGTCAGGCTCCCAGGGCAACAGAAATAAAAGCCACAATAAACAAATGGGACCTAATCAAACTTAAGAGCTTTTGCACAGCAAAGGAAACCATAAACAAAACAAAAAGACAACCTACAGACTGGGAAAAAATATTTGCAAATGATATGACCAACAAGGGCTTAATTTCCAAAATATACAAATGGCTCATACAACTCAACAACAACAAAAAACAAACAACCCAATCCAAAAATGGGCAGAAGACGTAAATAGACATTTCTCCAAAGAAGACATACAGATGGCCAAGAGGCACATGAAGAGATGCTCAGGATAGCTAATTATTAAAGAAATGCAAATCAAAACTACAATGAGGTACCACCTCACACCGGTCAGAATGGCCATCATCAGAAAATCTACAATCAATAAATGCTGGAGAGGGTGCGGAGAAAAGGGAACCCTCTTGCACTGTTCATGGGAATGTAAATTGTACAGCCACTGTGGAGAACAGTATGGAGGATCCTTAAAAAACTAAAAATGGAACTACCATATGGCCTAGCAATCCCACTACTGGGCATATACCCTGAGAAAACCATAATTCAAAAAGACACATGTACCCCAGTGTTCACTGCAGCACTATTTACAATAGCCAGGACATGGAAACAACCTAAATGTCCATCGACAGATGAATGGATAAAGGAGATGTGGCAGATATATATAATGGAATATTACTCAGCCATAAAAAAGAATGAAATAATGCGATTTGCAGCAACATGGAGGGACCTAGAGATTATCATACTAAGAAAGGTAAGTCAGAAAGAGAAAGACAAATACCATATGATATCACTTATATGTGGAATCTAAAATATGACACATATCTACGAAAAAAAAACAGACTCACAGACATAGAGAAGACTTGTGGTTGCCAAGGGGGAGGTAGGGGAGGGGAGGGAAGGATTGGGAGTTTGGGATTAGCAGAGGCAAACTAGTATATATAGGGTGGATAAACAACAAGGTCCTACTGTATGGCACAGGGAACTATATTTAATATCCTGTGATAAACCATAATGGAAAACAATAATAATATAGGGACTTCCCTGGTGGTCCAGTGATTAAGAATCCGTCTTGCAATGCAGGTGACTCTGGTTCAATCCCTGGTCAGGGAACTAAGAACCCACATACCGTGGGGCAACTAAGCCCACGCGCCACAACTACTGAGCCCATGTGCCACAACTAGAAAGAAACCCGCACACTGCAATGAAAGATCCTGCGTGCTGCAACTAAGACCTGGTGCAGCCAAAAATAAATGCTTTTTTAAAAAGAGTAAAAATGTATATATTCATATATATATATATATATATATACATATATATATATATATATATATATATAACTGAGTCACTTTGCTGTACAGCAGAAATTGACACAACATTGTAAATCAACCATACTTGAATAAAATTTTTTTAAAAAAAGGTAAGAAAACCAAACTAAATCTAAAAGAAGCAGAAGAAAGAAATAAAAGACTTGGATGAAGATAAATGAAATAGAGATTAGACAACAGAGAAAACCCATAAAACCAAAAGTGGCTCTTTGAAAATAACAAAAAGTGAACAAACCATTAGCTAGACTGACCAAGAAAAAAGAAGAATCAAATGGCTATAACGTCAGAAATGCAAGCGGGGACGTCACTACTGACCCTGCAGAAATAAGGATTATAAGGAGATACTATGAACGACTGCCCACGATTAAATCATCTAAATAGTCCTCCAAAGTTGGAAGACTCACATTTGCTGGTTTCAAAACGTCAGTACAAGCCTACAGTAATGCAGATGGCGTGGTACCGCTCTACAAGGCCAAGGTCTAAGGACTGAGGCAGGGCACTTGCCTTGAAGCTTCATCTCGGAGCACAGCTGAGCAGCCAGCACCTGCACCCGGGACAGGGAGCCTGGGGCTTGCTTCTGAGTCCAGCCTCTCAGCTCCTGTCTGTAGTTTAGCACGTGTGCCACAGAGCCAACCAGATCCTCTGCAAACTTGAAGACCGCAATTTTACCATTAATTGCATTTCCGTTGTGACCTATGACCTACATCATATCAACATGGGGAAGGGCGTCTCATCTCTTTAAGGCCAACTGTGATGGACCACAATCTGGAACAGATCATGTAACTTGGGTAGTTACTCATTTTTCTAATGATACCTTTGGCTGGTCTAGACTGCCAGTGCCTTTTTGTCCAGGAGTTCTGACCTCAACCAGTGACGTGGTCTAGGTACCCCACCCCGGGGTGGACTTGTGCACAATGCCTCCATCGGCTGCTTAATCGTCCTAGGTCCCCCACCAAAGGATACCAAGGCTGCTTGGGATGGCTGCAAAGGGCCTGGTGGCCTCTTACCTTTTTGACCTCTCTTGCTTTCACGGGACCTTCTGTGGCAGAAATCATTTTCAGGATCACGAGACTCTTTTCCTCAGCATTTCCTTTCAAAAGGTAGGACATGGACACTGTGAACTGCTCCTGGGAGATGCGCTCACTGGGCCCCTTGGTCTTCCCAGTCACGTCCACCCTCCGCATGCCCTCAAACAGTCTGGTGACCATCTCTGGGGGAAGAGCTTCCCCCACATGGCTCTGCGGGGACAGGTAGGTGAAAAGGTCAGACAGGGTGCCAGTCAAATGAGGCAGGATGATGGAAAAATAGCTAAGGGAGAAAGACCAACCACTGCTGCCAGCACATAATCTTCCTAGAGCCCCAAATGCACCATCTCTGCCCACCTAAGGGCATCATGACACCCCAGGACCCACACACCTAACGCGTCCTGGCTTGTGGCTCATCTTGGCCGTCAGACTCTTCCATCATCTGTTCCCATCCTGCCCTCCAGACTTCCCAGTCTGCCCAGACCGGCCGTGTCATTCCTGCCTCTGGCCACTGTCTACTCTTCACTCTGCTTACAACATCTCCTCAAGTCTAGAGTCTAGTAGCTGTGATTTGCATGTCTAAATTTAGTTCCATATGGAACATACGGTCTGTGTAGTGCTAAACTGGTATGCTCTATATTATAGGCTTCCAAATATATTAGCTAGCTTTATCAATCCAAGTTCTTTGTGCTCAGTATGCACTGGAAAGGGGGGGAAGGATAAATTGGGAGATTGGGAGTAACATATACATACTACCATATATAAAATAGATAACTAATAAGGTCCTACTGTATAGCACAGGGAACTACTCAAAACTCTGTAATGACCTATATGGGAAGAGAAGCTAAAAAAGAGTGGATATATGTGTATGTATAACTGATTCACTTTGCTGTACAGCAGTAACTAACACAACACTGTAAATCAACTATACTCCAATAAAAAATTTTTTAAATTTTAAATATCTAGTTCTTGGGACTTCCCTGGCGGTCCAGTGGTTAAGACTCCACGCTGCCAATGCAGGGGGCATGGGTTCAATCTCTGGTCAGGGAACTAAGATCCTACATGCCACGCAGCACGGCCAAAAGATTTTTTAAAAAATCTAGTTCTTAATCGTCTTGCCAGTAACATTCTGTAAATATCCTTTTCTCTTTGACTCCAACATCAAATCCGATTGGGTCCAGGGGTAGAACGCAGGCTCAGTAGTTGTGGCGCATGGGCTTAGCTGCTCTGCGGCATGTGGGATCTTCCTGGACCAGGGCTCAAACCCGTGTCCCCTGCATTGGCAGGAGGATTCTTAACCACTGCGCCACCAGGGAAGCCCCACCCTATTTATCTTGATAAACACCTGTGAACGTTGTCACCAACTCAGCAGTTGAGACCCTAAGCGGTCTGTCTTGTTCTCTCTGCTCCAGCTTAGTGGGAGACCCAGCAGACTGGGTTGCTTTTGGTCTAGTGGAGATACACACACGATACACACACACACACACACACACACCACACGCACAAGCTGTAACCCCAATAACCTCCCTGGCCAGTTTCCTCAACTATAAGGTGAGTATGTTGGGGGGATCCCCAATGCCATCCGCTCCCATTCTGCAGGTCCTAAAAGGGGAGGCTCTCCTCAGAAAACTAAAAATAGAGCTACCATATGATCCCGCACTCCCACTCCTGGGCATACATCCAGACAAAACTATAACTCAAAAAGATACACGCACCCCCGTGTTCACAGCAGCACTACTCACAATAGCCAACACATGGAAGCAACATGTCCATCAACAGAGGAATGGATAAAGAAGGTGTGGTACATATATGCAATGGAATATTACTCAGCCATAAAAAAGAATGAAATAATGCCATTTCCAGCAACATGGATGGACCTAGAGATTCTCATACTAAGTGAAGTAAGTCAGACAGAGAAAGACAAATACTATATGATGTCACTTATATGTGGAATCTAAAATATGGCACAGAAGAACCTATCTACAAAACAGAAACAGACTCACAGACGTAAGAGATCATACTTGTGGTTGCCAAGGGCAAGGGGGAGTCAGGGAGGGATGAATTGGGAGTTTGAGGTTAGCAGATGTAAACTATTATACATAGGATGGATAAATAACAAGGTCACACTACATAGTACAGGGAACTATATTCAATATCCTGGGAGAAAGCACAATAGAAAAGAATATAAAAAAGAATGTATATATGTGTATAGCTGTGTCACTTTGCTGCACAGCAGAAATTAACGCTACGTTGTAAATCAGCTACAGTTCGATAAAAAACTAAATTTAAAAGAGGAGGCTCTGAAATGTCTTCACACATTGCACCGCCTCCCCACTGCTCAGGGGGTTGGGCTGATGAGGTCTCTTCCCTGTTGTCTCGCTCTGTCTGAGCACCCAAACCACCCAAACGCGTGGCTAAGAGCCCCATGGAATGGGGCCAAAAGATGGGTAAATGGGCAGTTCTCACTCGTTGTCAGGTGAACCTTGACTCGGAAACTTCGTTATTTTGTTAGGAAAACCACAAAACTCCCAGGACGTCCAACACTTATGAATCCTAAAGGCCAAGGTGGACTTGAAACTTTGCAGTTATTGGACCCACAAATAGAGCTAAGGGCAGCCTGTCACTCGTCTGGAGGGAAACCGGGGACAGTGGTTCAAGAGACAGGAAGAGGCCACAGCCCCTCTAGTCAACCTCAAGTGGGAAAAGTCCCCCAAACACTGTGATACGAGGGCGGAGCAGAGCAGCTGCAACACTGGCCACAGAACCCACAAAGCTGAAAATAGGTACTATCTGTCCCTTTCTAGAAAACACATCCCTCAGTGTTCCCACACCTGTCTTACGGGAACAGACAGCCAATTGTGGCCTGACCCCTCTCCAAACTCAACGTGAACTTCTGACTGTTACTCTTGCCTTCAGTGCCTGCAGAGAGAAAGATCTGGGTGAGGTACTGGAGCGGAGTTCCGCTGACGACACAGCGTCAAACCATCTGTCAATCTCGGCCTGCTCCTCAGGAAGAAACCGCGAGGAGAGACTCTGCCCCGAGAGGCTCTTGCTATTTCCCATCTGTCCTGGTAGCTGGCAGGATTCTCTGCAGAAGGAAAGTTCACACCCAGTTAGGAGGGAAATCAAGATGTAATAATCACAGAAAATAAACATTGATAATTACATGGTCAAGGTAATCGATACTGACCTACTCGCAAAATGCAGCTACAACACATTAGAGATATGTAATGTTGTTTCAGTGTGGTAGAAATTAATGGTCGACACAAATAAAGTGGGAAAACCCAATTCTAATTCTTCTGACTGCCTGAGGCCTGCTCATAACTGCCAACCAACAGTCGATTTCTTTATTCGAAAACAGTTTCTAAGCTAATGTAACTAAAATGTAGAAAAATCAGGATTTCAATCTAAATATTCATTTTTTAAAAGTCTGAGTTGAAAAAATAATCTATAAGGCTGGATGATCACACATATTTAAAAAAAATCAACACCCTGCAAATATCACCTACAGAGCAGACGTGCTATTAGACATGTTTTTCCCTTTGTGATCCTGGCTCCACCTGGCTGGCTGTATGGTCTTGGGCAAGCGACCAAAACTCTCTGCGCCCGTTTCCTCGTTTGTAAAATGGGAATAATCACAGCCCAACCTCAGGCGGTTATGATCATGGTTGGCCAAAGCTGTGAGATCAGGACTTCCCTGGTGGCACAGTGGTTAAGAATCAGCCAGCCAATGCAGGGGACACAGGTTCGAGCCCTGGTACGGGAAGATCCCACATGCCACCGAGCAACTAAGACCATGCGCCACGGCTACTGAGCCTGCGCTCTAGAGCCCACGAGCCACAACTACTGAAGCCCGTGCACCTACAGCCCATGCTCCACAAAAAGAGAAGCCACCACAATGAGAAGCCCGCACACCACAACAAACAGGAGCCCCCACTCGCCACTACTGGAGAAAGCCCACGTGCAGCAACAAAGACCCAATGCAGCCAAAAATAAATAAATAAAATTAATTTATTAAAAAATAAATAAGTAAATAACATACAAAGGAATTCCCATAACGTTATCAGCTGATTTTTCAACAGAAACTCTGCAGGCCAGAAGGGAGTGGCAGGATATACTTAAAGTGATGAAAGAGAAAAACCTACAACCAAGATTACCCAGCAAGGATCTCATTCAGATTCAAGGGAGAAATCAAAAGCTTTTCAGACAAGCAAAAGCTAAAAGAATTCAGCACCACCGAACCAGCTTTACAACAAATGCTAAAGAAACTTCTCTAGGCGGGAAACACAAGAGAAGAAAAAGATCTACAAAAACAAAGTGAAAACAATTAAGAAAATGGTCATAGGAACATACATATCAATAATAACCTTGAGTGTAAATGGATTAAATGCCCCAACCAAAAGATACAGACTGGCTGAATGGATACAAAAACAAGACCCAAATATATGCTGTCTACAAGAGACCCACTTCAGACTTAGCGACACATACAGACTGAAGGTGAAGGGATGGAAAAGGATATTCCTTGCAAATGGAAATCAAAAGAAAGCTGGGGAAGCAATACTCATATCCAATAAAATAGACTTTAAAATAAAGAATGTTACAAGAGATAAGGAGGGACACTACATAATGATCAAAAGATCAATCCAAGAAGAAGATATAACAACTATAAATGTTTATGCACCCAACACAGGAGCACCTCAATACATAAGGCAAATGCTAACAACCATGAAAGCAGAAATCAACAGTAACACAATAATAGTAGGGGACTTTAACACGCCACTTACACCAATGGACAGATCATCCAAACAGAAAATAAATACGGAAACACAAGCTTTAAATGACACAACAGACCAGTTAGATTTAACTGATATTTATAGAACATTCTACCCAAAAGTGGCAGAATACACTTTCTTCTCAAGTGCACATGGAACATTCTCCAGGATAGATCACATCTTGGGTCACAAATCAAGCCTCAGAAAATTTAAGAAAACTGAAATCGTATCAAGCATCTTTCCTGACCACAACCCTATGAGATTGGAAATCAATTACAGGAAAAAAAAACTGTAAAAAACACAAATACATGGAGACTAAACAGTGTGCTACTAAATAACCAAGAGATCACTGAAGAAATCAAAGAAGAAATTTAAAAAACATGGAAACAAATGACAATGAAAACATGACGACCCAAAACCTATGGGACACAGCAAAACCAGTTCTAAGAGAGAAGTCTATAGCAATTCAATCTCACCTCAAAAAACAAGAAAAATCTCAAATAAACAATCTAACCCTACACATAAAACAACTAGAGAAGGAAGAACAAAGAAAACCCAAAGTCAGTAGAAGGAAAGAAATCATAAAAATCAGAGGAGAAAGAAATGAAATAGAAACAAACAAAACAAGAGCAAAGATCAATAAAACTAAAAGCTGGTTCTTTGAGAAGGTAAACAAAATTGATAAACCCTTAGCCAGACTCATCAAGAAAAAAAGGGAGAGGATGCAAATCAATAAAATTAGAAATGAAAAAGGAGAAATCACAATTGATACTGCAGAAATACAAAGGATTATAAGAGACTACTACAAAGAACTATATGCCAATAAAATGGACAACCACAAAGAAATGGACAAATTCTCAGAAAGGTACAATTTTCTGAGACTGAACCAGGAAGGATTAGAAAATATATCTTAAAAAATATAAATATTTTTGATAAAAAATATACCTATCACAAAAAATGAAATTTTAACTGTAATTAAAAATCTTCCACCAAACAAAGGTCCAGGACCAGATGGCTTCAGAGGTAAATTCTATCAAACATTTAGAGTAGAGCTAACACCTAATCATTCTCAAACTCTTCCAAAAAATTACAGGAGAGAAACACTCCCAAATTCATTCTATGAAGCCACCTTCACCCTGATACCAAAACTAGGAAAACATATCACAAAAAAAGAAAATTAGAGACCAATTATCACTGATGAATATAGATGCAAAAATCCTGAACAAAATACTAGCAAACAGAATCCAACAACACATTAAAACGATCATAAACTATGGTTAAGTGGGATTTATCCCAGAGATGCAAAGATTCTTCAATATACGCAAATCAATTGATGTGATACACCACATTAACAAATTAAGGAATAAAAACCATATGATAATCTCAACAGATGCAGAAAAGGTTTTTGACAAAATTCAACACCCATTTATGATAAAAACTCTCCAGAAAATGGGTACAGAGGAACCCTACCTCAACATAATAAAGGCCATATATGACAGACCCACAGCAAGCATCATACTCAATGATGAAAAACTGAAAGCATTTCCTCTAAGATCAGGAACAAGACAAGGATGTCCACTCTCACCACTCTTATTCAACAAATTTCGGAAGTCCTAGCCATGGCAATCAGAGAAGAGAAAGAAATAAAAGGAACAGAAATTGGAAAAGAAGAAGTAAAAGTGTCACTCTTGGCAGATGACATGATACTATACACAGAAAATCCTAAAGATGCCACCAGAAAACTACTAGAAATAATCAATGAATTTGGTAAGGTTGCAAGATACAAAATTAATGCACAGAAATCTCTGGCATGCCTATACACCAAAAACGAAAAATCAGAAAGAGAAATTAAGGAAACAATCCCATTTACCATCTCAACAAAAAGAGTAAAATACCTCAGAATAAACCTGCCTAAAGAGGAGAAAGATTTGTACTCAGAAAACTATAAAACACTGATGAAAAAAATCAAAGGTGACATAAACAGATGGAGAAATATACCATGTTCTTGGATTGAAAGAATCAATATTGTGAAAATGACTATACTACCCAAAGCAATCTACAGATTCAATGCAATCCCTATCAAACTACCAATGGCATTCTTCACAGAATTAGAATGCCATTACAATTCGTATGGAAATACAAAAGACCCCGAATAGCCAAAGCAATATTGAGAAAGAAAAACAGAGTTGGAAGAATCAGGCTCCCCAACTTCAAACTATATCACAAAGCTACAGTAATCAAGACAGTATGGTACGGGCACAAAAACAGAAATACAGATCAATGGTACAGGACAGAATGCCCAGAGATAAACCCACGCACATATGGGCACCTAATTTACGACAAAGGAGGCAAGAACATACAATGGAGAAAAGACAGCCTCTTCAAAAAGTGGTGCAGAGAAAATTGGACAGCTACATGTAAAAGAATGAATACACTCCCTACCACCAAACACAAAAATAAACTCCAAATGGATTAAAGACCTAAATGTAAGGCCAGACACTATAAAACTCTTAGAGGAAAACATAGGAAAAACACTCTTTGACATAAATCACAGCAAGATCACTTTTGGCCCACCCACCTCCTAGAGAAACGGAAATAAAAACAAAAATAAACAAATGGGACTTAATTAAACTTAAAAGCTTTTACACAGCAAAGGAAACCATAAACAAGACCAAGAAACCTTCAGAATGGGAGAAAATATTTGCAAATGAAATAACAGACAAAGGATTAATCTCCAAATATACAAACAGCTCATGGAGCTCAATAATCAAAAAAACAAACAGTCCAATTAAAAAATGGATGGAAGACCTAAATAGACATTTCACCAAGGAAGACATACAGATGGCCAAGAGGCACATGAAAAGACGCTCAACATCACTAATTATTAGAGAAATGCAAATCAAAACTACAATGAGGTATCACGTCACGCCGGTCAGAATGGCTATTAACAAAACATTTAGAAACAATAAATGCTGGAAAAGGTTTGATGAAAAGGGAACCCTCCTGCACTGTCGGTGGGAACGTAAATTGATACAACCACTATGAAAAACAGTACGGAGGTTCTTTAAAAAACTAAAAATCGAACTACCATATGACCCAGCAATCCCACTACTCGGCATATATCCTGAGAAAACTATGATTCAAAAAGAGACATGTACCACAATGTTCACTGCAGCTCTATTTATAATAGCCAGGACATGGAAGCAACCTAAGTGTCCAGCGACAGATGAATGGATAAAGAAGATGTGGCACATAGATACAGTGCAATATTACTCAGCTATAAAAAGAAACGAAATTGAGATATTTGTA